ATATATATTTTGGCCAGAAGGTTTTAAATTTTAATTTGTTGACAACATTTAAAAACTGGGAGACTTAATGTAAAAATCCCTATCCCTGGCTTCTCTTGAAAAACTTGTAAGATCTAGCATCATTGGCCATGTGTTCCTTTATGGGAATAAACAGTTGAAACTAAATAGCAGCTACGTTCCTCTTTACAGTTCCCCGCAGTCTACTGCCAGCCCACTGTCTCTCCAACAATGAGCTCATTGTCAGTGTCAGTTTTCATTTATCATCTTATGTCCAGTCCACTTGACTTACTTTTATTACCAGCCTGGCTGCTATGGGTATCTCAGTCTATAACCCTTGCATGAGAAAGTAAATAATATGAGAGCAGAGACCTTGTTTATCTTTCTGTGTTCTCAGGGTCTAGTGTAAGAAGTTAACTGTTGAATGAATAAATTTTTATTCCAGAATACAAAACTTAACCTACAAAACTTATAATCCAACCAGAAGGAAACCCAGATGATTATATATAAAATTCCCAAAAGTTAAATGGAAAAAACAGAAAAACAATTTGTTAATGTAGGCTGGCTTTGGGCTCAGTTAGGACTAAAATCTCAAGTACCAGGTCCTAGTGGGAACAAAACAAACCATTCCAAATGAAGAAAACATTAACAAAATTCATTATAAATACAATACCATATTTGCTGTGATAGTTCTAATTCATGAATAAGGTGATTATACTTAAAGGAAGGTGCTCGGGTGGTACAGTGCCTAAGACATTTGACTGCTAACCAGAAGGTTGGTGGTTCAAACTCACTAGCCACTTTGGGGAAGAAAGATGGGCAATCTACTTCTGTAAAGATTTACTGCCTTGGAAACCCAAAGGGGGTCACTATGAGTTGGAATTGACTTGATGGCAGTGAGTTTCATCTTTTGGTTATACTTAAAGGTACTCTGGTGTCGCAGTGGTTAAAGCATTCAGCTAACCAAAAGGTCTGTGGTTCAAACCCACCAGCTGCTCCACAGGAGGAAGATGAGGCAGTCTACCTCTGTAAAGATTTACAGTCTTGGAAATCCTATGGGCCAGTTCTACTCTGTCCTATAGAGTTGTATACGAGTTGAAATCGACTCAATGGCAGTGGGTTTGATTTGGTACACTTAGATATATAATTATAGAAAAAATAAACTTTATTTTCTCCCCTTTTAAAATGTTTTGTAAAATACACAAAAAATGTATGTTCCTTAAAGAAAAATTATAAAACATAGAGAATTTAAAAAAAAGATCCATAATGATATCACTCAGAGATAATCATTGATAATATCTTATATATATATGTGTGTGTGTGTGTGTGTGTATATATATATATATATATATACACACACACATATATATAT